TCTCTCTCTCTTCTCTCTTCCTTATTTCTTACCCTCTCTGCCTTTTTTTTTTCTCTTCTACCTAAATAAGGGCCCACCCCCCACGTCTCTTCCCTTTGTCTCTCATCTGGTTTTCTGTTTTTGTTAAAGGACAGTTGATTAATGGTGCCACAGACAAAGCCTGCAGTCTGCTCTCAGCCCGGGCTCAGATAGGGCTCCACTCTAGGTAAACCAAAACACATGTGCTCTGGACAGCCACTGGGAACCCCTGAGGAGAGAGAGAGAGAGAGAGAGAGAGAGAGAGAGAGAATTGGAAAGAGAGAAGAAATTAACGACAGTAGTTGCTGATGTATTATATACAATGATATAGGGTCCTTCCTGCGCTGGAAAATGAGCAGTAAAAGGAAAAGGATGGAGGAATGGTGTGTAGTGTGTAGAGCCGGGCTGACATGCTCAGGGTGTGGCCTTTTACACCGTTTGTGTGTAACTGAGATTTAGTTGCACCGTGCAGGCCTCTGTGTGTTCATTGAAATCTAAACTTCTGCTCAGGCTCCACATCTCACAGTGTACAATTGCACATATTTACTGATTCTAATGTAGCAAAGAGACATTTCCACACCTGAGTATTCTTTCTTGCCTCCAGGCTCCTCAGGAACGAGTGCAGTGCCATTGAGAGCCTTGTACGAGAGAATTGCCTCACTGAAGGATAAAGGAGCATATTATTACTGTGGCTGCATCGAGAGCTTTACTGTCAGTTGTCTTCATAATGGCAGGGCTTGACACTCATGTCATACTTTATCGCCGCACACTTCGTTGTTTGTGTGCGTTGAAATGATCTAATTGGTTGTGCTTGCTGCCTAAAGTAAACATGTCTTCTTAGGAATTATTACCCAGAAGGTCTATTGGTTAATAACAATTATGTGTTCAGTTATGCTATATGGCACTGACCTACTGAACCAAACCATTCCACTCTCCTTCAGTCTAGAAGCAAACCCTTTCATCTATAACTATAAGGCCATATAAACTGTCCCTTAAGTCTTTTTGCTCTCAATTTGAGGGGGTCCAGACTCATAAACCTGAGATGATGCCACACTGATGATTCAGTTTTTATGCTGCATTCATGCAAGGTCTGTAAAATGGGAAAGACAGAAAAGCCTCCTGTTAGTTTGCATCGGGGGTGTTGAAGGTGCTGCTTTTGTGGTGTATTTGGAGCAATTTGTTAGCAAGTGGAAACCGATACAAACAAGCATCTAAAACTTTCCTTTTAAATGAACTCGGTGGCTTTAGTGGCTTTGAAGACATTTCGCTACAGGCTTGTTGATGCTCCTGCTTCAGTTTTTTGCACCAAGTGGGAGATATCGTCGCTGTCAAAGAACCTTTTCCCTCTCAACCTGCTTTTTGTTACATGAACAGTGCTACCACCCAACCTGCAGTAAGTGGGCCAAAGCAAGCAGGGATTGAGTGTTGTTTTGGAGGCGGAGTGATCCAGGAGGAGTCTCGCTGGTCAGCAAGGTCACCGTCCAACATCAACACCGCCAGCACTTTGCAAAGTTGTGCACACCCAGAGGAAGAATGGAACTTTCCTGAAGTGTTTTTTGCAGTCATCCACTGCATCTCACCCAGGCAATATGTGCCTGCCAGTTTCCCGTCATTCCCAGCTCACACACAGGGATGATCCCGAAGCCATCCTCAGTGTCCAAGAGGGATTAACAGTGGCATGTGGACTGCCGGAAGAGGAGGCAGGCAGAGAGCCAACAAGCAGTGACTGTAGCCCTGAAGCTAAACTACGTTACTGCCAAAAATATGCTCCATCTTCCTCCTCCATCCTGTCCTCTGTCACATCATTGGTCTGGATTTGTTGGCATTCCTAGGAGAGAAGTGCTAGTTAAAGTGATGACCCAGGCACGCCCAGTACAGCTGTTTATTGATGGAGGATATGAGACAGTGACCACTGTGCAAAGCCTTGCTCCTGATCCAGCAGGATTTGTTCTATAAAACCATAAGAAGGTTAACTTCTGGCTTAGTGGAATTCAAGACGAGTGAGACACACACTGATCAACCTGGGGTATTGATGAAAGCGTGTGTAAGCTGCAGTTGTTGAGTTGTTGAGTTATACTAGAGGGAAGGAGAAAACAACACACGAGAACTGCTGTAGTTCAAATCCCCGAATGTTTGACACAGATTGGCGTGCTTTCAGAAGGCTGATGGGAAAATGCACCAGGGACTGTTCACAATAGGCAGGGTGACTGTGACTCACCGTGAACTGGGACTGAGGTGGGTGTGTTCTCTTTTTAAAAGAAAAGGGGGCAACATTTCCATCAGGCCTCTACCAGTGCTTAGACTTAGACTTAGACAGACTTTATTTGTCATTTGGATTTGCATCAAAATGAAATTACGTTACAATGA